TAATGACCTGTCTGTGTGTATTTTTTCCTTTCTGAACGTGGCATTTCAGAATGATGTTCTTGTGAGTCTTGGTTAGTTTTTCCTGATCCTCAAGTGTCATTTCATTAACAACAAATAAGGTTTATATAAAATTAGTTACATGATTTGAAGTTTTTGCTGTTGTAAAAAAATTATTACTGATTTTAAAGAGAGCAAAGAAGGGAGGGAGAAGAGGGAGAGACGGAGATATTTGTTCTACTTATTTATGCATTCATTGTTTGATTCTTGTATGTGCCCTGACTGGGGATTGAACCTGAAACTTTGGTATATTGGGATGATGTTCTAACCAACTAAGCTATCTGGCCAGGGCCTGATTTGAGGTTTTTGATTAGGCAATCCTTGTTGCTGTAATAGAAGCATTACTAGAAGGAGGAATTCTGGAGGGGGGGAGGGGGGCGGTGGTGGCAAATAAATACAGTGTTTTGTTGGCTGGTAAATATTCTTTTTGTGTATATATGCCATTTAGGTTAGAATTATATAATGCATTTTTGTCGAGTGACAAAATGAAGCCATTGCTTTTCCATATATATTTTAGAATTTTGAATTTCTTGGGGTGACATAGGTTTCAAATGTACACTTCTTTTTTTTTAAATATATTTCATTGACTTTTTACAGAGAGGAAGGGAGAGGGATAGAGAGTTAGAAACATTGATGAGAGAGAAACATCAATCAGCCGCCTTCTGCACACCTCCTACTGGGTATGTGCCCGCAACCAAGGTACATGCCCTCGACTAGAATCGAACCTGCGACCCTTGAGTCCGCAGGCCAGCGGCGCTCTATCCATTGAGCCAAACAGGTTAGGGCTCAAATGTACACTTCTATAATACATCATGTATATATTGTACTGTGTGTTCACCACCTAGTCATCTCCTTTCCTCACCATTTATTCCCCCTTTACCCTCTTCTGTATCCCCACATTCCCCTTAATATAACTATCAGCACTGCCACCAACAATGTAATTACTGAAAGCAAACAAAAAAGAGGATAAGAGGTTTAGAGTTGCTGAAACTGGTTTGGCTCAGTGGATAGAGCGTCGGCCTGCGGACTGAGGGGTCCCGGGTTCGATTCCGGTCAAGGGCATGTACCTGGGTTGCAGGCACATCCCCAGTGGGAGATGTGCAGGAGGCAGCTGATCGATGTTTCTCTCTCATTGATGTTTCTAGCTCTCTATCTCTCTCCCTTCCTCTCTGTAAAAAATCAATAAAATATATATTTAAAAAAAAGAGGTTTAGAGTTAATATTCTGTGTTATAAAGTTATTTAAAGAAGTTAATCTCTGACTGGTTGTATCAATTTGATGTAAAATCACAATTACTTGTTTCCTTTGGTTTTTGATTTTGAAGGATTTTCTTTAAAACACTATAGTTGAATCTTATCCCTGTTCACTTCACTTTGTTTAATTTCTCCTACCCAGTTTTAAAAAATGTTCTTACTGATTTAAAAAAACAACATTTTTATTGATTTCAGAGAGGAAGGAGAGGGAGAGAGAGACACATCAATGATGAGAGAGAAGCATTGATCAGCTGCTTCCTGCATGCCCCGTACCGGGGTTGGAGCCCACAACCTGGGCATGTGCCCTGACCAGGAATCAAACTAGAGACCTCTTGGTTCATGGGTCAATGCTCAACCACAGAGCCACATTGCCTGGCTTTATTGATTTTTTAGGGAGAAAGGAAGGGAGAGGGGCGGGGGAGAGGGAGAGGGAGAGGGAGAGAGGGAGAGAGGGAGAGAGGGAGAGAGAGAGAGAGAGAGAGAGAGAGAGAGAGAGAAACATTAATCTGAGAGAGAAACATTGATTGGCTGCCTCCCATACCCACTGGGGGACCAAACCTGCAACCTGGGCATGTGCCCAGACTGGGAATTGAACCCTGGATCCTTTTGGTACACGGGACGATGATCAATCATCTGAGCCACACCAGCTAGGGCAGATAACATTTTTTTAAGTGCATATGTACTAGTATATATCCCTATGCCCTTCCTTAGATTAAGTGAAGGATATTCTAAGAGATTCCAACTACTGGGGCCTTGTCTTACTGCATAACCAACACCATGATAAGAGAATGAGAACATTTTCATCACCTCCAAAAAGTACCATTGTGCCCATTTGCAATTAATCCCTGCTCACACTGCTAGCCTTAGGCAACCACTATTTCTCCTTTTCTGTCATTTCTAGACATTTTATATAAATGGGATAATACAATGACGTATTTGGCATTGGGCTTCTTTCACTTAGCATGTTTTTGAAGTTCATCATATTTTGGGATGTACCAATAGTTTATTTTTTTTTTTTATTGTTAAACAGTATTCTATTGTATGAATATACTACATTTTATTTATGTACTCACTAGCAGATGGACATTTGGATTATTTCCAGTTTTTGTCTATTATGAATAATGCTACTATGCATATTCACATACATCTCTTTACATGGAAATATATTTTCATTTACCTTTGAGTAGGTTCTTAGAAGTAGAATTGCTGGTTTGTATGGTAAATGTATGTTTAACTTTTAAAAAAATTACCAGTTGTTTTCCAGTATGATTTACCCTTTTACATTCACACTGATAATATAGAAAGGTTCCAGTTTGTCCACATCTTTGCCAGCTCTTGGTATTATTTGTCATTTTGAATTTATCTATTCTAATAGGTGTATAGCAGTATGCCATTAATTTTTACTTTTTGTTGTTGTTAATCCTCACCCGAGGATATTTTTCCATTGATTTTTAGGGGTAATGGAAGAGAGAGGGAAAGACAGAGAGAAACATCGATGTGAGAGAAACACATCAATTGGTTGCCTTCTGCACTAGCTCCCGCCTGGGCTGGGGAGGAGCCTGCAACCAAGGTATGTGCCCTTGACCGGAATCAAACCCGGATACCAAATTGTCCTACATATTATGTTGAAAATACTCTCTTTTCTCTATTGAGTTATCTGGGTACTCTTGTCACACAAATCAGTTGACCACAAATGTCAACTGATCTGGACTCTCTGGTCTGTTCCATTGATTTATATGCCTGTCCTTTTGCCATTACCACATTATCTTGATATTTGTGGCTTTATGGAAATTTTGGAAATTTGGTAGTTTAAGTCCTCCAACTTTTTGTTCTTTTTCAAAATTGTTTTGGCTACCATAGGTCCTCTTAGATTCTAGTTGCTTCTAAGTTAGAGGACTTGCTGATTACACTTGGCCATAGCTGGAAGTACCTTCTTTTTTATACCTGAGTCTTAAATTATGTAATGTGTATGAGAAAACACGTGCTACTGTGAGTTAATTACTAACCATTTGTCCTGAATTGGGAACCAAGGAGCAGTTACTATTTTGTTTTTCCCTTCCTGGCTCATATAAAGAGGCCATTTGTAATTTGGGAGTGATAGCAAGTCTGAGTGATCACTTTTACTTTTATACTAGAAGCCCGGTGCACAAAATTCGCGTGTGTGTGGGTTCCCCTCAGCCCAGACTATACCCTCTCCAGTCCGGGACCCCTTGGGGGATGTCCGACTGCTGGTTTAGGCCCAATCCCTGGGATCGGGATTGAGCCTAAACCGGCAGTCGGACAGCTCTATCACAATCCTGGACCTCTGGCTCCTAATCGCTCACCTATCTGCCTGCCTGGTTGCCCCCAACTTCCCGCCTTGCTGGCCTGGTTGCCCCAACTTCCCCCTCCTGCCGACCTGGTCGTCCCTCATTAACTCCCCCCCCCCCCTCTTGGCCTGGTCGCCCCACGCAGCCTGCTTGTTCAGTCGTTTGGTTGTTCCTCACTAACCCCCCTGCCGGCCTGGTCGTAGGCAGCCATCTTGTGAGGGTGTGAGGGTTAATTTGCATATTACCTCTTAGTAGTACTCCTTTTTTGCTTTTAATAAATGGACACCATTCTTTTTCATAACTCCATTTTGATTTTCTTAATTTATGATTAGTATTTATGTATTAAAATCGTTTGAAATTATATCTTTCTGTGAAGATGCCTTTGTACTAATTGATTAGTACCCTCAAACTATGTTTAATGAGGGCGGGAGGGCGGGGGTGTGTGTTTCTTTTGCTCATATCTTTTTCTCATTGTCTAACACAGTGGTTCTCAACCTTCTGGCCCTTAAATACAGTTCCTCATGTTGTGACCCAACCATAAAATTATTTTCGTTACTACTTCATAACTGTAATGTTGCTACTGTTATGAATCGTAATGTAAATATCTGATATGCAGGATGGTCTTAGGCGACCCCTGTGAAAGGGTCCTTCGACCGCCAAAGGGGTCACGACTCACAGGTTGAGAACCGCTGGTCTAACACAAAATAAACAATATGGGCCCTGGCTGGGTAGCTCATTTGGTTAGAGCATTGTCATGATACACCAAAGGTTGTGGGTTTGATCCCTGGTCAGGGCACATATAAGAATTAACCAATGACAGCATAAATAAGTGGGATAGTAAATCTCTCTCCCTTTTTCTCTCTAAAATCACTAAAAATATAAATAAATAACATGATTTTGCTCAATATATTGTAGTATTATGTAGCATTATTAGGTTGATGTCCTAGTTTGTGCTTTTGGTGACTGATCTTTACCTCTTTATAGCCTTAACTGAAAAGTATAAGTGGATCAGAACATACTGTTTGGGGAAGAGACACAGAATCGAGGAAAATAAAGGAATAGGGAATATGGCATGAAAGTAAAGTTAGCTACTTTTCATTTCCTATAAGGTGTACAAGATGGGGCAAAGTATGTTTACAGTTATTTCTATGGAAAATTATACAATAATTAATAAATAATAATACAAGAATAAACTCATTGGCATACTCAGAACTGTAAACCTACTTTTGCCCCACCCTGTATTTTTTGTTATTTGGTCTGGTTGGTGAGTTTAACCCATCTCAATTTTAATAGCTTACTTAAAAATCTCATCTTATTCAGTATATGAAATTGTAAATTTATTTTACTAAAATCTATGCTTTCCTTTTTCCCCCCCTCTTAGGACATTTGCTACAAGATCCTATTGCACCCACCAACTCCACCTGCCAACACTATGTCTGCAAAACTTGTAAAGGCAAGAAAATGATGATGAAACCTTCATGTAGTTGGTGCAAAGACTATGAGCAGTTTGAGGAAAACAAGCAGTTAAGCATCCTAGTGAACTGCTACAAAAAACTATGTGAATATATAACACAGACTACATTGGCACGCGATATAATAGAAGCAGTCGACGGTTCTTCTGATATTTTGGCTTTGCTTAATGATGGATCATTGCTTTGTGAGGAGACAGAAAAACCTTCAGATTCATCCTTTACTTTGCCTTTGACACATTCCCCTTTACCTTCGACCTCAGAACCCACAACTGATCCTCAAGCTAGTTTATCTCCAATATCTGAAAGCACCCTCAGCATTGCTATCGGCAGTTCTGTTATCAATGGTTTGCCTATTTATAATGGACTTTCAATAGATAGATTTGGTATAAATATTCCTTCCCCTGAACATTCAAATACGATTGATGTATGTAACACTGTTGACATAAAAACTGAAGATCTGTCTGACAGCTTGCCACCTGTCTGTGACACGGTAGCCACTGACTTATGCTCCACGGGCATTGATATTTGCAGTTTCAGTGAAGATATAAAACCTGGTGATTCTCTGTTACTGAGTGTTGAGGAAGTACTCCGCAGCCTAGAAACTGTTTCAAATACAGAGGTTTGTTGCCCTAATTTGCAGCCCAATTTGGAAGTATCCAATGTATCCAATGGACCTTTTCTGCAGCTTTCTTCCCAGTCTCTTAGCCATAATGTTTTTATGTCCACCAGTCCTGCACTTCATGGGTTATCATGTACAGCAGCAACTCCGAAGGTAGCAAAATTGAATAGAAAACGATCCAGATCAGAAAGCGACAGTGAGAAAGTTCAGCCACTTCCAATTTCTACCATTATCCGAGGCCCAACATTGGGGGCATCTGTTCCTGTGACAGTGAAACGGGAGAGCAAAATTTCTCTTCAGCCTATAGCAACTGTTCCCAATGGAGGCACAACACCTAAAATCAGCAAAACTGTACTTTTATCTACTAAAAGCATGAAAAAGAGTCATGACCATGGATCCAAGAAATCTCACTCTAAAACCAAGCCAGGTATTCTTAAAAAAGACAAAACAGTAAAGGAAAAGATTCCTAGTCATCATTTTATGCCAGGAAGTCCTACCAAGACTGTGTGTAAAAAAACCCAGGAAAAGAAAGGGTGTAAATGTGGGCGTGCTACTCAAAATCCAAGTGTTCTTACATGCCGCGGCCAACGCTGCCCTTGCTACTCTAACCGCAAAGCCTGCTTAGATTGTATATGTCGTGGCTGCCAAAACTCCTATATGGCCAATGGGGAGAAGAAGTTGGAGGCATTTGCTGTGCCAGAAAAGGCCTTGGAGCAGACCAGGCTCACTTTGGGCATTAATGTGACTAGCATTGCTGTGCGCAATGCTAGTACCAGCACCAGTGTAATTAATGTCACAGGGTCCCCAGTAACGACGTTTTTAGCTGCCAGTACCCATGATGATAAAAGTTTGGATGAAGCTATAGACATGAGATTCGACTGTTAAATCAGTGGGTCTTTAAACCTGCCTCTGGTAGGGAAATAGCTACAGTTTAAGGCAGCTATGGTTTTGTTGGTTTAACTTGCCGGAGCTCCTGCATATAGATCACTTGTATCAAGTGTTTTCATTGCTAAGTTATATGTGTTAGTGTCGGGGAAATAGTTTGCAGATAATGGAGGAGTAACCCTACAACTATATGTCCTTAGTTCTTACAGAACCTCATAGTTTGAGAACAAATGCTGATGCAACTGATTTATACAAAATGAACTTTGGCAAGGAAGATAACATTAACCTCATTGTTTATGGTCATGCTTTGTGCGTAATCAAAGTTTATGATTAAATGTAAGGAAGTGGTATCTAGTCAGTCCATAAAGATTGTGCTAAGTTTTTGTGAAACGTAGCCATTGTTTGTTCAGGAGACTCAGTGCTTGCTATCTTCAGATGCCATTGATGTTTCTCCTGTTGAAAAGCTGATGTGTCCAGCTCAATCTATATGCTGACAATACCATTTCTGATCATGAAAATTGGCTACTGGTGTATGTAGCAGTTCTTAAATCAGCAGTATTATGAAAGAAAATTTGCCCCTCATTAGAATGTTGAAGAAATCTGTCTTTTAAAGGTGAACAAACTGAAATTCTGTCAGACTGCCTATGTTTAGTTATTTATGCTACCGAAATTTTGTGAGTTGAGCTCCTTTTTTTAGTGAAGTCTGACTTATTTCTAGGGAAAAAATTCTTGATCCTTTCTTCACTGTGCGCAATGTTCTAATTAGATAAATGAAGTGGAGAAGAGCAGTTTTATTCTGAAGCTGATTGAGTTTAGATTATAGTATGTGACAATTAAAAATATGTAAACGTTTTATTTAGAAATTGGGATGTATTTAAAATAATTTTGGAATAATGCCCCCAAATGTATCCAGATTTTTGCATTATACTTAACTGCTATTGGCCACTTTGATTTTTTGTTTCCTCGAATAGTTTGCCACAGACTATTTTAAATATGCTTTTTTTTTTTAGGGTGCTATTTGTTATGAAGGCTTCTATATAGAGGCCTAATAAAAATGCCTTTTTTAATGAAGCCTCTGCATTTAGGTAGGTTTGAAGCTAGGATGATTTTCTTTAGAATGCTCTTTTGCATGTAAAGCACAAACTATGTTTCAGTTTAAATGCACTTCTTCCCTTTAATTTTTATGGGGAAAACAAGTGAGTCACAAACATTCTGTTGAAGGGAAGTCTGGTCAGTTGCTTGAAAGAGCACAGCCCAAATAAAACAAGGACTGACTAGGTTGTAAAGAAATGACCTTATGATTTAAAAGAAGAGTTGCTGCTTTGACAGTGCTTATTTAAAGAAAAATACTGCTGGAAAACTTCCAATTTTTACGTTCACCATCTCGTGAGATCTGACATATGCTGAAGTTACGTTTTGATTTGGCACACAGCATGTTCAATGATGGTTACTCACCTAGGACAAGACATGGAGAAGAAACCTTGGACACAGAGCAGATGACACCTCCTTCTGTTTTGTAGTGTATCCTGGTGTCATTTTCTGTGAATGTGGTCAGGTAGAGTTGTTTTTCTTGTTGAGCTTTTTTTTTTTTTTTTTTTTTTTTTGGTCTCTTGGTGGGGTGGGGGTGGGCTAAAGCCATAGGAAGAAAAATGTGATGTATGTGTCCAGTATGTACTATTTTGTTTTGTTTTGCAAGAAGAGTTGAACTATTTTTGATAACAAGAGTAAATGGTGGAAAATGCTTCTTAGTTGTCTTGTCTTTATTTGCTTTCCAAGTTTTGGAATTTTATTTAATTCCTCAAGTGTTAGCAGTGTCTCATGAAACATGTATTTGCCTAAAGTTTGTAACAGTTTTGTGTTGAACCCAGATGCCCTGCTATATATATAAACTTGTAAATCTGTTCTTTATTCATTAATGATCACTGCAAAAATGACTAGAAATGAGATTGTACAAATGGATGATTAGGATATATTTTGCAAATCTCCCAATCTTTCCTAATATTATGATCTTAAAAGTCATAGCGTACCTTATTGCTTCCCAAGTTTGATAATCTTAGTTTTATGTTTTTTGATGCATGGGAGGTTGGCAATATAGAAAAAGTGGAAGTCTTTAGTATGTGAGGGCCTTGATTGTTATGTAATATTGCCAATGATGAATTCAGGTTGTTTTTAGCACAAGTTTCTCTTTTTTATGCTGGTATTCACACTGCCACATTTTGGAAACCTGTATTACACTTTAAATCTATCAATAAATGTTAGTTTTCTAATTCTATGTTGTAGAATACTGAAAAGTTTGGGATAGCATGCTCTGAATGGCCTATATTATATACATTTGGGGAAGTAATACAGTGCCTTGATTTTTACATTGTTTTCCTTTATACCATGAGTTACGGCTAACTAGGGATGATTAAGAAATTATTACTGAAGTAACTGGATTTACTTCATCGGGATTTGATACTACCAAAATAATAACAGCATTTAATATGACATGTTTTCACTTGTTCTTTTTGAGTCTTTGTTATTAACATAAGTGATCAAATGATCTTTCATCTTAGGTAATAGAAATTTTAGAGCTGAGAGTTTATCCCTTTGTTAGTTTCATTAAGTGTACATTTTCATGCTGAGGTGTAAGGGTAAGAATTCCTTTTATTTTACTGTGTTCTATCTAGTTTGCTTAAAACAACTCTGCGGTGACCTTGTGGAAGAAAAGTAAGTTTTACAACATATGAAAAGTAAAATTTCCTTCCCCATATCATAGTAACAAATATAAAATGCTTTAAAAAATACTAAATTCAAAGTATGGTATTGGAATCTAACACTTGGATGGTATTTTAACTTTTCTTCCTCCCTTTAATAATGTTTAGTGTGTGTGTGTGTGTGTGTGTGTGTGTGTGTGTATATATATATATATATATATATTTATTGATTTCAGAGAGGAAAGGAGAGGGAGAGAGAAACAACCATGAGAGAGAATCATTGATCGGCTGCATTCTGCATCCCCCCTACTGGGGATCCAGCCTATAATCCTTGATGTGCCCTGACCAGGAATTGAACCAGCGACCTTTTGGTTCCTGGGTGGACACTCAACAGCTGAGCCACACTGGCCGGGCTTTCCCTCCTTTTAAAAAGTATTTTTAGGTACCTAAATAATAAATTACATATTCTTCTAAAAGAATGTATTATATATAAGACTAAAGTTCTCTTTGATCCCTGTGAACCTCTCATTCCCAAACCCTGTTCTTCCCATCCCCCAGAGGAAATCACTTCTCATTTTGAGGTGTTATCCTTACAGATCTTTATCGTTTTCTCAGGGGGCTCAAAGAGTTATTCTCTTTGAAACTCAAGCTTGTTTACAATGTTACTCAGACATAAAAATGAATTCAAGTGTGATTAAAAGCACAGTATGTAGTGATTATCTTAGTGGAATTCATATTTGACAACTTGTTTTTATTTAGTTTTCGTAAAAGGGAAAATAAAAACAAAAGTTAAGTCATGCAGGCTTCTCTATTCAAACATACCTTAACATTTCCAAAAGTTGAGCAAATGACTTATCTCATTTAATCAGTATAGAGTTTTATAAACACTTTGAACAGTATACAATGACGTAGATAAGGTGCAGGGAAAATACATAGAATTTTATTAGTTGATTACTTTGGTAACGTTATGCTATGAAACTCACTTTTTCATTGATTAGCATTAGGATTACGATAAACTTCAATTGAAACTTTTATCATGGAGACTGGGATATTGTAACTTGAAATTTTCAGTTGGGCAGTAATGATTATATGCAGCATGATCTTTACCAGGAAGTCAAATATATACTATCTTAGTTCCTCAAATTCACATTTCTTGCGTTCAACTCTAGAAAAGGAGTAGAGTGAAACACATTCTTATGTCTGAAAATGTGATACTTTGGGGTAACCTAAATTAAAATAGTCTTATCTTAAATGGAATGATATTGGTAGCTTGCTTTTATAATAATTACAGACTTTTTGAAATCAAATACTGACCAAAATGAAAATAAGAGGACTTTAGTAAGAAACAAGGGAAAAATGTAAAGCCAAGTTAAAAAAAAATCAAATGTATATTGGAAAATTGGATTTTATTTTTACTTTTTGCTGATATCTGGCTTCTAAAAAAAAAAGTAATTGCTTTCCTTTCCTGGTAAAGGTTGGATGGGATAGATGGTAAATTTTATGTACCACATAAATATTTTTAATACTATTTATTAGTATGTTTAGGTTATTGCATGTAGTGTTTCCTCCAAATAGTCACTTTTAAGCTTTTACTTTGTGAATTATTAGATATTAAGTTTTAATAGTTACCATTTTCTTTAACAGTTAAATGGAAGATCATTTCTGATCATGGAGATAAAATAACAAGAAACAGAGTATATTGACAAGGATTGCTGTTACACCAGTTGATAGTACATTTCCTAATACTCCTTTTCTCCACTTTTTGCCTACCACAACTCAAATGTTTATTTCATCATTTGGCCTTAACCACCAGCATGGGAACCAAGTCGGGGTGAGAAGGAAAGCTATTCTGACATTCAGGACTTTTGGTTAAAACACTAATAGGGGAAAAGTTGATGACTTTTCAGAGATGAATATTTAAAAAGTTGGGGTTTTTTTTTTGGTGTCTTTTATATTGTCAGAAATTTCCATCCTTTTTATAGTTTATTTTCAGTTTTATCTTGAAGGTTATCAGGATTTGGCTGCATCCTGACTTGCTGACAAATGTAGATATCCGTAGTGAATACATCGACCACTATAGTACATGAAATAGCTTTCTTTTTTGGGTGGCATCACTGTTTTCCTCTATTTCTGTGATAAATACTGAAGTGGATGGAATATTTGGAATAGTTTCACCATGAAGTAAGGAATAATGTTTAGATTGAGGCTTTTACTATTGGATTAGTCTGATATTAAGTCATGAAAGGAATATGTCTAGTAAGAGTTTTCATATATCATTAAGTCTTCAAGAAGGCCTTCTGATAGGAAGTATAGATGGGGTATCGGCTAATTTAGAGACTAGTTCAATTTTCTACAAATAGTGGATGAGTTAAGAGGAAACTTTTTTTCAAGTATGAATCAAATTCTGTACTTAATTTCATGTAAGAAGTTTTTTCTTTAGATTTTATTTAAGACCCACAGTCAAGATGGGGAAGGGATTATTCAGAGCTTGCCAGCAAAGTTGGAAGGCCCAGTGGTTACAATACCTGAGGATGTAAAGTGACTAGCAGTTTGGCAGGTCATTGTGAAATAATACATTAAACCAAGTAAGTTCACGATCTTTGAACTCCAGTACACACATAATTAAAAGAAGTCTCTGAGATGTTTCGGCAGTGCTTTTATTACCAGGGCTAATTCAGTTCTGGAGGCCCTTAATGCTTTTTCAAGTTCCAGAATTTTTTGACTCAAGTTTTCTGCAAGTGAAAGTTTCTTCTGGGCTCCACAGGAACCCTGAGGGGCCTCAGGGATGCTGGACAACACAGGCAACTCCTTATTACTGTGCTTGACACTGTCCCCAAGAGATCCTTGGTACATTCAGGGTGAAGAGTGCTGGTTCACAGACTTTGGAAGGTGATGTATATCACTGTAATTGCTTCTAAGGAAATCTCTGTAAGAGGTTTGAGGCAAACTGGAGTAGTCTTGCAAATTGAGTGTGTATATCCAGACCTATTGCTTAAAAATTTAAAGTTCCCAGTGCCAATACACACTTGCAGAAATCAAAGCCTTTAAAAAGCAGTTTGCAAACTAAAGCATCTCTTCACAAGAAAAAAAGCATTTAAAATACATATCTCCTTTTCATTATAGACATTGGCAACTATTCTTCATCCACTGACTGAAGCTTTCCACATTTCTCAGAAAGGCTTGAGGTTGCTATTTTATTGCCTTTGTTTCCAATTTCAGAGGGAGAGGCAGGTTCCTCTGTTTCATAATCTTCAAAAGAACTGAAAGAAACAGCAAAAGTGATTTACTGATTTTTTTAAAAGAAAGTGGGTAGAAGTCAATATTGTAAACTAGAGACTGAGCACCAGGTTGTAAAAGCTGTTAAATGGCAGCTATAAACAATTGAGCCCCCCTGGTGAAGACTGTTCTGGAAGAGAAAATATGTTCTTTAAAGCCCAAGTTCATGTTAGAATTTGTTGAAAATGTGCTGTATCAAGGTTTCCCACCCTCCTCGTGTGGCTCAGTTGGAGCATCATCCCATATCTCGGTTGCAGGTTCAATTCACAAGGCACATACCTAGGTTGTGGGTTCAATCTTCAGTTGGAGGTCCAACTGATATTTTTCTCCCTCTCAAAAAATCATTAACATATCTTTGTGTGAGGATTAAAGAAAAATTAAAAAGAAAAAAAGGTTTCCTTAGGAGCCTGGTAGGAATGAGTGTTCTGAATGATGCTCCAGCTAGGTTAGGGAAGGTGTGAGGTCCATAAAGTCTGAGCTTTTCATGAATGCTTTCCATGCAAAGTGGGGAACTTTCTTAACTCACATTGCTTATAGCTGCATGGCTTGCAAGAAGTACATTTAGTTGTGCAAGTGTGTACATGGAATAGACTGAAGCCATTCTTCATAGAACTCCACAACATATTCCCTCTGCTAACTCCCCTTTTACTGATACCCTCACCCCCCTGTTCCATATCCTCCAGGCTACCCCTGAGGGTGACAAATATTTTATCTCTTGGGGGTGATGGCGGCTTGAAGCATTAAAATGATAAATATTCTCAGGCTACACCTG